ATGCCTATACTTGTGTGAGATTTCAAATAAACTATGCAGATAAAACTCTGTGTTTTTCTCTCTGATTTCAGACCCTTCCTACCTTAGCTCATTCGCAATGTGATCTTTCTAATCCAGATCCAATCAAGTTATTTCTGTGCCTAAAACTCTTTAATGGTTCCCCACTGCCAAAGGGGAAAATCTAAACATCTAAACATAGTCCTTTAAAACCTTGACCCAGGCTTCTTTGCAATTTCATGTCAATCACTCCCCATAACATCCTATGTCCCAGTTACATTGAATAACTTATTCACATTCCCCAAAGATGTCATGCCTGTTTCATGACACCTGTTTCACTTGTGATTTTCTACTCACTGGCATGTACTCTCCTCTCTAGACCCACCTCCCTAATTCATCCTTAAGGACCTTGCTTTCATGTTTGACATTTTTATGGCTAGAATGGATTTGTGTACTACTTTAATAATTAAAAGACTAAATAAACATTCTAGAAAAAAATATGAATCATGTTAAGATGTCCACATTTCTGTTAAAAAATTCCTGATACTCCTTGATCATTAACTATGTTCCTGGTTTACTGTGTAGCTTGTACCTTCCTCTATTATTAATATCATAATAAGTTTATGTGTCTGCCTCAGTTTCTGAGTCACTGAAGCAGGCAATGTGATCCCCTCATTACTAAACTCAAGACCTATATCATAAATAATGTGAGAAAGTACCTATGAAAGACCAAACCATATGGAATCAGGATTGCATCAGTTATTCTTGGGCAACCCAGGACTGAGACACTCGTTAGAGCTTTTCTCTCCCATGGAAGAACAGAGACGTAGTGTCAGAGCACAAATATAGATTCCCAGTAGTAACTTAACATAATCCTCCTGCTCTGAAAATTGTCATGGTCCACGTTGTCCAATATAGTGTATATAATTCCCAGAGTGGCATTGCCCTAGAAAACTGTTTTCTCAATTCCTCTAAAAATATAACTCCAATGGCTTTATAAAAGGTAAAATTTTAGGGTGGTTGATTAATTCAACTAGGCACTAATGTATATCTTTTGAGTGAAAAAAGCAGTATAATAACTGATTGGCTTGTTCTTTCTTGGGTGGAATAACAAAAGATGTGGATAACATACTTTCCGCTGATAATTTTTAAAAGAGGGATATTATGAAGTGTGAATAAATATTAAAACGAGCACTCCTCATAGGTATTATTTGATTCATTAATCCTTTTATCCCTCTCATCCTTTTATTTTTTGTGTATGTCTTATGTTAATGCTTAACATAAGACCTATCCTGTTAACAAATTTTTAGGTATGCAATAAAGTATTGTGTTGTATTTCATCATGAACTACAGTAAGAGATCTAGGACTTTACTATTCATCTTGTAAAAATGGACCTTTGTACCCTTTGACCAACGCCTCCCTATTTGCCTCTCCTTTTCTCTGTCAACCACCATTCTACTCTCTGCTTCACTGAGTGTCTTGGCCTTTTCTTTTTAATTTCAATTTTATTTACATTTATAGGGAGTACATGTGTAGGTTTCTTACATGGATATATTGCACCCAGGTCATGAGCACAGTACCCAGTAGATTTTCGACCCATCCGCCTCCTCCACCCCCTCCCCTCTCTGGTAGTCCATGGTGTCTATTGTTCCCATGTTTATGTTAATGTGTGCTCAGTGTTTAGCTCCCACTTATAAGTAAGAACATGTGGTATTTGGTTTTTTGTTCCTGCACTGGTTCACTTAGGATTATAGCCTTGAGTTCCATCCATGTTGCTGCAAAGGTCATGATTTCATTCCTTTTTATGGTTGTGTAGTATTTCATGGTATATATGTACTACATTTTCTTTATCCAGTCAATCATTGATAGTCACCTAGATTGATTCCATGTCTTTGCTATAGTGAATAGTGCTGCGATGAACATATGAATGCATGTATCTTTTTGGTATAACGATCTATATTCCTTTAGGTATATACTCAATAATGAGATTGCTGGGTCAAATGGTAGCTCTGTTTTAAGCTCTTAGAGAATGTCCAAATTGCTCTCCACAGTGGCTGAACTAATTTACATTTCCATCAACAGTACATAAGCATCCCCCTTTCTCCACAGCCTCGCCAACATCTGTTATTTTTTGACTTTTTAAGTTCTTGGAGAAATTGCCACACTTCTTTCCACGATGGCTGAACTAAATTACATTCCCACCAGTAGCATATAAACATCTCCTTTTTTCTGCAATCTTACCAGCATCTGTTATTTTTTGACTTTTTAAAAACAGCCATTCTGATTGATGTGAGATGGTATCTCATTGTGGTTTTGATTTGCATTTCTCTAATGATTAATGATGTTGAACATTTTTCATATGATATGAACATTTTCAAAAAACAACCTCACTTGTATGTTCTCTTTTAAGAAGTCTGATCTTGTCCTTTGCCCATTTTTTAGTGGGGTTGTTTTTTGCTTGTCGATTTCAGTTTCTTATAGATTCTGGATATTAGACCTTTGTCAGATGCATAGCTTATGAATATTTTCCCTATTCTGTAGTTTGTCTAAGTACTCTGCTGATAATTTCGTTTGCTGTGCAGAAGCTTTTTAGTTTAATTAGGCCCCACTTGTCAATTTTTGTTTTTGTTGCAATTGCTTTTGAGGACTTAAGTCAAAACTTCTTTGCCAAGCCAGTGTCAAGAAAGGCATTTTCTAGGTTTTCTTCTAGGATTTTTATAGTTTTAGATCTTACATTTAAATCATTAATCCATCTTGAGTTAATTTTTATATATAGTAAAAGACCTAAGGATCTGGTTTCGTTCTTCTACATATGGCTAACCAGTTATCCCAGCACTATTTATTGAATAAGGAATCCTTTCCCCATTGCTTGTTTCTGTCAGCCTTGTGAAACATCAGATGGTGATAAGTGTGCAGTTTTATTTCTATGTTTTCTATTCTGTTCCATTGGTCTATGTGCCTGTTTTTGTACCAGTACCATGCCATTTTGGTTACTATAACCTGATAGTAGAGTTTGAAGTCAGGTAGTGTGATGACTCTTTTTTCTTTTTGCTTAGAATTGCCTTGGCTATTCAGGCTGTTCTTTGGTTCCACATGAATTTTAGGCTAGTTTTTTCTAACTGTGTGAAGAATAACATTGTTAGTTTGATGCAAATAGCATTGAATCTGTAAGTTGATTTGGGCAGTATGGCCATTTTAATGATATTGATTCTTTCAATCCATAAGCATGGAATATTTTTTCATTTATTTGTGTCATCTCTGACTTCTTTCAGCAGTGTTTCATAGTTCTATTTGTCGACATCTTTCACCTCTTTGGTTAGCTATATTCCTAAGTATTTCATTTTCTTTGTGGCTATTGTGAATGGAATTATGTTCTTGATTTGACTCTCAGCCTAACATTACTGATGTATAGAAATACATCAGAAATTTTTGTACATTAATTTCATATTCTGTAACCTTGCTAAAATCCTGTAGCAGTTCTAGCAGCCTTTTGGTGGAGTCTTTATGGTTTTCTAGGTATAGAATCATGTCATCAGTGAAGACAGATAGTTTGACTTATTTTCCTATTTGAATGCCTTTTATTTCTTTCCCTCGTTTGGTTGCTCTGGCTAGGACTTCCTGACTCATTCATTCTTGAGAGAACCAGTAAGATGTTAGAATGACCCAAAGAGTATGTGTGTGTGTGTTTGTGTGTGTGTGTCTATGTGTGTGCATGAAATAATAAATTTGCTTAAAACATGCAGAATAGGTCAATATCAATTGCGTTTACATAAGACACAATTTACCTTTCTATGGAAAAGAATCATTTTATCATTACCAGTATCCTACCACTTATAAAGTTGTAAAATAACTTATATCTACAATAGATAAACTGAAAGTTGTGTTAGATAATGTCTTTTCTATAACATTATGCTATTAAAGCACTAATGCATTTTGTACAAAAAATATTACTTATATAGATTTAGAAGCAAATATGTTTATGAGTATTCAACTAAACACTCTGATTGTTCTTGAACATTGCCTTATAACAACATGATCTATAAAACAGAACAATGTCTCTCAAATTGGTTGTTTATAAGATTTAACTGGGGTGCTTCTTAACATCTAGATTTCCAGGTCCTCTTCTAGGAAATTCTCATTCGGTAACAAAAATTTCTCTTCAGAATGGGAGCTAGAAATAAATATTTTTAAAGAAGCACTATACACAACATTCCAATGCTGTGGGGAATGTTGACTGAAAGCAAGCCTGAAAATAATACCATAACTATAATTTTAAGAATATTTAAATTAATTAATCAACAGTTAATTGAACTTTAACCCAGGAGGTTTATCAAGACTTTCTTTGTTTTCCCACAGAAAACGTCTAAATTCATAACCACTTATTGTTTTCCCGATTTGTTTAACTACTTTACCAGAGAAAACATATTAATTGCATCTGAAGCACTACCCTTTTAACTTTGAAAGGTACTTACTCTATATATTTCCCTCACCTCTTGTATAGAATGATGGCATTCTTTGAGCTCGCAAAATTATGTTTGAAAAATTTACAAATGTAGCAAAGTAATCAAAAAGCAATAAACTGAGGTCAGCCACCAATAATAACAGAGATAAGTGAGTCACCAAAACCTAAAATATTAGTGCATGTGGGAAAGAGGTAAAGATGAAATAATAAGTCAGAGTGATATCTGAATCTAAAGAGCAAATCCATGATCAAATTTTGCATGAGTGCACAGATGGGCAAGAGAAGAGATTTAAGAAATAAATACAGTAGATCCAGATAAATTTCCGGGCAACATTCTTCAAAGAGAAAGACTTTTTATTCCCATAAAAGGAACTGAATTTCAGCCAGTAACATTAGTACATTGACATATTTCTGTAGTACTTGGTAAATAGTCACTATCCTAAGCCCTTATGCCTTCCCCCTAGCAAACCCAGGATCCAGCAACTGAAGGGATAATATCTGAATCAGTAGAGGACCCCAAAAACTTTGATCCAGACTTACTGTATTCTGATTGCTTTAAGTCCTCTTCCTATTGATGGTTAAATATTGTGGTTATTACTCTTGCTCACAGTGATGCCTCCGCTGGTCTTTCATGATTCTCTGAACCAGATTCCCAAAACTACAAAAAAAAAAAATAATTTTCTCCTAGAAAAATGGGCATTTGAATTCTTAGGACTGTTATTATTCCAGCATTTGAATTCTTAGGACTTATCAACCTGAAAGTATCCCCAAGAGCAGCCAGGTTCTTACATTGCTATTGTCACTTAACACTTCACCATGTGATACTGCACCAGATGGGGGTTGCAGTTAATTCTTTGGTCACTTCTTAACTGATAAATTTTGTTGTCACTTATTTCCTGCTAATTTCTGTGTAGCCTCCTTCCAGATACTCCTAAAAAGGGTCAGAAAAAAAATTTCAAACATCTATAATCTGTAAGAGACTATAGTAAATGCTACTATATTTAAACATGGACCTAAGCAAAGCAGTACAATTTAAAACAAGAATATGATTTCATCATACAAGAGAACAATGTTTTTCTCTTTATATGTACATTGTATAACTTTTAATTTCTATTTACTCTGGGAATTCTATATTTCTTATTGAAATACTTGGGCTTTCTCATTTTAAAAAGTCATGCAAATTTATTTACACGTCAGCTTATCTTTGTGTGTAATGGAATTCGTGAGTTGCTTACACCAGATGTCTAAGGGAAAGTCCTGTTTCTTTTATTTGGAACTTGTGAAAATCCTTTTACAACCCTGGCCCTCAGTGTGCTCCCATGAAAATGAGTATATTGAACAAAATCAGAGTATTTCCAACTTTATATCAACATGAAGTTCTCATCATATGAAATTTTGCACAAAAGCTTACCAATAAGCAGGGTTTCTCCAGTTAAAGCAGAGGAAGGCAGACTATTGCCAGTTTGAAACTCATCCACTTCCCAGGCAACTTATAGACACCCTAAAAGAACTGCCTAAGATTCCACAAAAACACAGTGTAAAATTAAAAAAAAAAAAAAAAAGATAATCAGTAACACCCTTTCCAACTCTAAAATTTCTAGAAAAATTTATAGTATGTTCCTATGGCTTGGGTTGTTCAATTATAGATCAAATGAAGACTGAACTGATTAAGGCTAAACTAGTACAAACACACAGTGGAGAATAATATTATATGTTATACATAATATATGAGAAATAACAAAAAGTAGGCAAAGTTATGCCATTGTACCTCATTCTCAATCCCTTCACATCTTATGATACAATCCAAACCAAATATCAATGAAAGTAATGACTATTTAATTAAAAATAAACAATAAAGTAATTTTTATTTAACTAAAAATTCAATCAAAAAAATAAAATAATAACTTTAATAAGAATCATAGACCACATTATACTGTAAGCATTTAGCTATAGTGCTCTGTGTGTATGTGCGTGTGTGTGTGTGTGTGTGTGTGTTAGTCCTTTTTCACACTGCTATAAAGACACTACCCAAGACTGGGTAATTTATAAAGGATATTTAATCGACACATTTCCGCATGGCTTGGAAGGCCTTAGGAAACTTACAATCAGGGCAGAGGGAAAAGCAGGTATCTTCTTCACAAGCTGGCAGGAGAAAGAGAGAGTCAGCATAGGAAAAACTGCCACTTTTAAAACCATCAGATCTTGTGAGACTCACTCACTATCATGAGAACAGCATGGGGGAAACCACCCCCCATAATCCAATCACTTCCCTTGCTCAACACATGAGGATTACAATTCAAGATGAGATTTGTGTGGGGACACAGAGTCAAACCATATCAATATGAATACATGTATACATTTTTAAAATATAAGATATATGAGGAAAATATATATATATATATATATATGTATTCTGCAAAAGTTTCCTTTGATGGTTTTATCTAGGGGACTACCATGTCCCTAACTAGATTCTAAGCCACACCCTTGAAGCCACTACTATACACTGATTTCAATCATTCCTTGGTGACCATCATTAATCCAGTGATTTGGACAACTTTAGAAAAGTTGAAATTTTACCAAATCCAATCCATACTTCACACGGTGACAAGAGTTAGCTATAAAAACATGAATTCATAAATTCGTGACTAGTGTGCTTAAAACACTCATAGCTTTCCACCTCCCAGAGACTCAGTGTGAAATCCCAGACCTTCATGATTTGGCCCCTGAAACCTCACAAGCCTCACCTAGTCCCACTCTCTCTCTATCCACTCCACTCCAGGAAGCTTGGCCTTCTCTCAGTCTCATGTTCTCTGCCATGTCATGGGAACCTTAACTGTGCTGCTCCTCAGCCTAGAACACACATCTTTTCAGGCAGTTGCTTCATCAGTCTATTTATTCTTCAGACATCAGCTGGGACCTCACATCCTCAAAGAAGCTTTCTTGACCTAGTCTAAGTCAAACATCCTGCTACATGTTCCAACACCACCTTATATCTTTTCATAAAACTTTGCATTCTTAGGCTGGTTCAGCATACTCAAATCAATAAACGTAATCCATCACATAAACAGAACCAAAGACAAAAACCACATGATTATCCCAATAGATGCAGAAAAGGCCTTTGATAAAATTCAACACCCCTTCATGCTAAAAACTCTCAACAAACTAGGCATCGAGGAAACGTATCTCAAAATAATAAGAGCTATTTATGACAAACCTACAGCCAATATCATACTGAATAAGCAAAAACTGGAAGCATACCCTTTGAAAACCAGCACAAGACAAGGATGCCCTCTCTCACCACTCCTATTCAACATAGTATTGGAAGTTCTGGCCAGGCCAATCAGGCAACAGAAAGTAATAAAGAGTATTCAAATAGGAAGAGAGGAAGTCAAATTGTCTCTATTTGCAGATGACATGATTGTGTATTTAGAAAACCTAATCATCTCAGCCCAAAATCTCCTTAAGCTGATAAGCAACTTCAGCAAAGTCTCAAGATACAAAATCAGTATGCAAAAATCTCAAGCATTCCTATACACCAATAACAGACAAACAGAGCACCAAATCATGAGTGAACTCCCATTCACAACTGCTACTAAAAGAATAAAATACCTAGGAATCCAACTTAAAAGGGATGTGAAGGACCTCTTCAAGGAGAACTACAAACCACTGCTCAAGGAAATAAGAGAGGACACAAACAAATGGAAAAATAAATATTGTGAAAATGGCCATACTGCCCAAGGTAATTTATAGATTCAATGCTATTCCCATCAAAATACCACTGACTTTCTTCACAGTATTGGAAAAAAAACTACTTCAAATTTCATATGAAACCAAAAAAGAGCCCACATGGCCAAGACAATCCGGGGCAAGAAGAACAAAGCTGGAGGCATCATGCTACCTGACTTCAAACTATACTACAAGGCTACAGTAACCAAAACAGCATGGTACTGGTACCAAAATAGATATATAGACAAATGGAACAGAACAGAGGCCTCAGAAATAACACCACACATCTACAACCATCTGATCTTTGACAAACCTGACACAAACAAGCAATGGGGAAAAGATTTCCTTTTTAATAAATGGTGTTGGGAAAACTGGCTAGCCATATGCAGAAAACTGAAACTGGACCCTTTCCTTACACCTTATACAAAAATAAACTCAAGATGGATCAAAGACTTAAATGTAAGCCCTAGGATCATAAAAATCCTAGGAGAAAACTTGGGCAATACCATTCAGGACATAGGCATGGGCAAAGACTCGTGTCTAAAACACCAAAAGCAATGGCAACAAAACCCAAAATTGACAAATGGGATCTAATTAAACTAAAGAGCTTCTGCACAGCAAAAGAAACTGTCATCAGAGAGAACAGGCAATGTACAGAATGGGAGAAAATTTTTGCAATCTATCCATCTGACAAAGGGATAATATCCAGAATCTACAAAGGACTTAAACAAATTTACAAGAAAATAACAACAACAACAATAAAAAAGCATCAAAAAATGGGCAACAGATATGAACAGACACTTCTCAAAAGAAGACATTTATGCAGCCAAAAGACATATGAAAAATGCTCATCATCACTGGTCATTAGAGAAATGCAAATCAAAACCACAATGAGATACCATCTCATGCCAGTTACAATGGTGAACATTAAAAAGTCAGGAGACAACAGATGCTGGAGAGGTTGTGGAAAAATAGGAATGGTTTTACACTGTTTGTGGGAGTGTAAATTAGTTCAACCATGGTGGAAGACAGTGTGGCAATTCCTCAAGGATCTAGAACTAGAAATGCCATTTGACCCAGCAGTCCAATTATTGGGCATCTACTCAAAGGAATATAAATCATACTACCATAAAGACACATGCATATGTATGTTTATTGCTCCACTATTCACAATAGCAAAGACTTGAAACCAACCCAAATGCCCATCAATGTTAGCCTGGATTAAGAATATGTGGCACATATACCCCGTGGAATACTATGCAGCCATAAAAAAGGATGAGTTCATGTCCTTTTCAGGGACATGGATGAAGCTGGAAACCATCATTCTCAGAAAACTATCAGAAGATCAGAAAACAAAACATCGCATGTTCTCACATGTAAGTGAGAGTTGAACAATGAAAACATGTGGACACAGGGAGGGGAACATCACACACCAGGGCCTGTCAGGAGGTGGGTGGCTAGGGGAGGGATAACATTAGGAAAAATACCTAACGTAGGTGACAGTTTGAGGGGTGCAGCAAACCACCATGGCACATGTATACATATGTAACAAAACTGCATGTTCTGCACACGTAACCCAGAACTTAAAAGTATAATTAAAAAAAAAAAAAAAGGAAAAAAAGAAAATTAGGATATAAATGTAGAAAATTTAAAAAAAAACAACTTTGCATTCTTGGAACTATTTAATTCATCATTTGTAATTATCTGTTTATCTTCTGAATTTTTTTTTTTTGCCAGTAAATTCCACAGGCCGTTTTTGTTTCTCTTATCACTACAGCTCCAGCACTGCTCCTAGTAGCTGGCATTTCATACATATTTGATAAATATTTATTGACAATAAAGAACACTTCAAAAATTTAAAGTGTGTAATTTATTCCTTAATGGCTAGTAATAGTTTTCAACTCACTTTCTCATAACTAAAAAAGATGCTTAAATTTTCTTTTGTTCTGAAAGATTTTATGCTTTTTAATTCTTGAGCTGAATGGAATGTTCTGAATACATATGCTTTTATAGAGCCATCTAGTGCCCATTTTGTTTAGTGAAACTAAAAATTAAAACAGGAGGAAAAGCCCACAATATCCTCAACAGTGAAGAATGCATAACCTCCATCTGGGAGCAGCAATTTAATACATTAACTGTTCTGTTGAATGACTTTTTTCCTGAGCTACTTCTGGCCTTCACTGTATGCACATCAAATTAGTCATT